CAGGGGAGCTGTCTGGGGAGGGATCGCTTTCGGCAATGCCTCCGGATGCGCCATCCGAGTTTTGACAGCAGCAGCATTGTCTCCAAAGTTTGTGGAAGGCTGAGCAGGTTTCGGGGCCGTGAGCGTGTGTGATGGCGCGTCGGGTCCCCCCGATCCTGCACCCCCGGAGCAGCCAGAACAGACTCTGCCAGCCAGGAGAACAGAGGGGTTATTGCTTCTCCGGGTACAGCCCAGCACAGACGTGACGTGGCTACAGGAGTCAGGGCCAGGATGCCTCAGACCCCTTGGGTTAGGGGCTCCATCACCACTCAGCTTAGTCTGTTCCCTTCATGTTTCCCAGCCAGCAGCTGCCTCACTCCCAGACCCTGCCCCCAGCCAGGTGGCGTCTCCACCTCCCTCCCTTTGTCTCTCCCCTGGGAAGAGCCTTGTTCTCTGCTCAGGCTGGGCCGAGGTGTCTGGGCCAATCCACAGGTGGGTGAGTCAGTGGGAATCGCACCTCACAGCACAGGGGAACCCCGGGTTACAGAACAGACAGCCCCCCCACTACACCACAGCATGGCTGCTGCATTCCTCTCTAGCCCAGTGCTATGTAGGCTGAGACACTTCCCTCTGTGTCATCACAGGTTTCTTTACAACGCATTAGGAGAATTGGCCAGGTCTTAATCAATTGTTCACAACAATCAACCACACAATTCCCTCAAACATCTTGGTCGATCGCAGGTTTAAAACAAACCAGGAAGAAAAAAAACCCCCACACAGACAACCTGTGGAACTCCTTGCCAGAGGAGCTTGTGAAGACCAGGACTTTGATAGGGTTCAAGAAAGAGCCAGATACATTCATGGCGGTTGGGCCCATCAATGGCTATTCGCCAGGATGGGCAAGGAGGGTGTCCCTAGCCGCTGATTGGCAGAGCGAAGAGGGATCACTTAGGCTATGTCTACACTGGCGGGTTCTTGCGCAAGAAATATGCAAATGAGGCTAAGCGTGTAATATCGCCCAGCCTCATTTGCATACCTAATGGGCCACCATTTTTGTGGAAGAGGCTCTTGCGCCAGAAGGCGCGTCTACACTGCCCCTTCTTGAGCAAGAAAACCCCCCTTGCGCAATGCCACTACGCTGATTATTTTGCAAGAGCCTCTTCTGCAAAAATGGCAGCTCATTAAGTATGCAAATGAGGCGTGGCGATATTCCACGCTTAGCCTCATTTGCATATGTCTGGCGCAAGAACCCGCCAGTGTAGACATAGTCTTAACAATTCTCTGTTCTGTCACGCCCTGTGGGGCACCAGGCATTGGCCACTGTTGGCAGACAGGCCACGGGAGAGACGGGCCGTTGGGCTGGCCCAGTGTGGCCGCTCTGATGTCGAGGGAGAATTCGTTCGGAGGCTCCTGCTCTCTTCAGCGAAGCCGAAGCGAAATGGTTACGGAAGCGCTTTGCAATTCCAATGAGGTTTTCGTTTCTTCCCGGAGCAGCCTTTGCGCTCAACGGGCACTGGAGCCGTGTGCTGCTAGAGCCTGGCCTGCCCTTCCGCCTTCTCGGCTCGGCTCACCTTTGCCATGGTTGCAGTGTTGTCCGTGATGGGTTTTTGTTCACAGTTTATTGCTGTTTTCACAGCCGCTCCCTGTGCGTGTTGAGGGGTGCGGCCATTTCCCGAGGGAGCTGCTGTTTCGGAAGGTGCTGCAGCTCCATCGGCTCGGCCTGGCTCTGCGCTGCGGGGGCCAGCCTGCCCGAGTTCCCCTCGGTATGGCTCGTGCCCTGTTCAAGTTCCTTCTTGCACACTGTGGCCCTGACTCATCCCGCC